AAAGACAGCCTCTTTAATAAATGGTGCTGGAAAAACTGGCTTTCCACATGCCAAAGATTAAATAGACTCATATCTTTCACCAAGCATTAAGTTAAAATTGAAATGGATTAAAGATCTAAATATTAAAACAGAAATAATCTGCTGGAAGAATAGGGAGAACTCTTGAAGACATTGGTGTAGGCAAAAACTTTATGAACAAAATCACACAGGAGCTATTACAAAAAATCAACAACTGGAATCTCATCTTATTAAAAAGCTTTTGCACAGCAAGAGAAACCACCAACAGAGAGAGAAGACAACCCAGAGATGGGAAAAAAATGTTTGCCAGCAGTTCCTCAGACAAAGGACTACTATGTGGAATATATAAAGAACTCAAAAAAATCAGACTCCTCAGTCCAAAAATAGGCATCTGAAAGGAAGAGACACTCTTTAGATGAAGAAGTACAAATGGCAAATAAATATATGAAAAAAATGTTCAACATCACTGGTCATTTAAGAGATGCAAATTAAACAACAGTGAGATTCTATCTCATCCCAGAAAGAATGGCTATTATCAAGAAATCAACCAATAACAAATGCTGGAGGGGCGATGGGGAAAAAGGAACCCTTCTCCATTATTAGTAGGAGTGTAGACTGGTGCAACCATTGTGGAAATCAATGTGGAGATTCCTCAAAAAACTAAAATTAGAGGTTCCATGTGACCCAACAATTCCCCATCTTGGCATCTTCCTGAAGGAATTAAAAGTATTGTACCACAGCGATATATGCACAACCCTGTTTATAGCAGCACAGTTTGTAATAGCTAAATCATGGAAACAGCCCAGATATTTATCAACTGATGAATGGATAAAGATGTGATTTTTTATATAACGGAGTACTATTTAGCTATAAAGAAGGATAAGCTTGAGACATTTCTAGCAAAATGGATAAACTTTAAGACCATACTCTTAAGTGAAATAAATCAGACACATGTTTACATACCACATGGTTTCTCTGGTGTGAGAAACTAAAGGTGTAAATAAGGACCAAAGCATAGAATAGATATTGGGAAATGGGAAGAGGAACAAAGGAGAGAGGATAGAGAACTGAAAGAAAAGACAAGAAGAAAAGAATACAAGGAAAAATGGAACTAAAACTTTTGTAAATTAGGAGGGGAAGAGGTGTTGATGGGAAAAACAAGAATCAAGATCTATCACGTACAGGTATCAATTCCCTATGGTGAATGAGATCATTATGTATACTTAAAATATGCTAATAAACTTAAGTAATTAGAAAAAAAAAAGAGCCAGTAGTGGTGGTACAGGCCTATAATCCCAGCATTTGGGAGGCTGAGGCAGGAGGATAATCTGTGAGTTCAAGGCCAGCCTGGGCTACAAAAGCAAGTTCAAGGTCAGCCTGAACTGCATGGTGAGATCCAAAGAACAGCTGAAGGGAAGGGAGGGGAATGGGAAAAAAAGAAGCAGGAAGGTATATGATGTACAGATTTAAATTCTCTATGAATGTTATCATTATATATATGTAAAATGTACAAATAAAATTTTAAAAACTGGAAAAAACCAATGTATATTATATATATATGTATATACACATATACATATATGTATCATATCACAATTCAAACTCACTTTAAGCACTCTTTAAATGTATGTGACTAATAATAAACATATTGGACCAAGCAGTTCCAAAGAAACTTGAGCATGCTATTGACAAACAAAATAGCCAAGATTTAATTCTAACAATTCAAAACAATGAGTAAAAAATGGACTAGCCAGCAAACAATGCTGGAATGACTGGCAAGCATTCCCCGTATTGGGGAAAAATACAGATGGATTTTTTTCTTGTGCTTTAGTCCAACATAAATTGTGGACACAAAAAAGATGTTAATGTGAAAAGCAAAACAATAAAAGCAAAAAAAAAAAAAAAAGAATAATATTTCTAAAATTGTCATATAGTGGGAAAAATTTTTTAAAGCATGTCAGGAAAACTCCGGAACCATAAAGAAAAAGACTGATGAATTTACTTGACATAAAAATGTAATATTGGGGGCTGGTGATATAGCTCAGCAGTACAAGTGCCTGCCTGGCAAGCACAAGGTCCTGAGTTCTAGTCCCAATACCCACCCACAAAAAAAGTAATGTTGGCAGGGTGCTGTACATACTTGTAATCCTAGCTACTTGGAAGGCTGAAGCAGGAGGATCTCCATGTTTGAGGCCAGTCTGGGCAATTAAGTGAGAACTTGTCTCAAAATAAAGCAAGTAAAAAGAGCTAGAGATATAGCTCAGTGGTAGAGTATTTACAGTGTGAGGCCCTAGGTTCAAGTCCCATTACCACAAAATAGTAGTAACTATTTTAAAAATTTTAAAAATTAATGTTGGTACTATGTGATAAAACAAGGTTGAAAAGTAAATGACAAGTGCAGAAACTATTTCAAATATGTCAAAGTACTTTTAAATATTCTTAATATAAAAAGGCACTACAAAAAGATAAACACCCAAAAATAAATTGAATAAACAAGATAAGAAAATGAACAGATTAAAGAAATAGCCAAAGGGCCGGGGATATAGCTCAGCGGCACAGCGCCTGCCTAGCAAGTGTCCTGAGTTTGATTCCTGGTACAAAAAAAAAAAAAAAAAAAGGCCAATAAAGAGAAAAAGAAATGCCAAAAAAGTTATTTTAATCTCAGGCTGGCAAAGAATAAAAAGTAGATATTCCCCTAGATCTGGGGAAAGGTTGGGTTTTGCAAACAAAGTACTAGGAACATAAAATGGGTATGAGCCTCTTGGGGGCAGCTTGACAATCTATATAAAGATTTAAACTCATTTGTAGGAATTCATTTTAAGTAGTAGTCACAAAAAAAGTAGAAAGCCAGGCGTGGTGTTGCACTCCTGTAATCTCAGCACTCTTGAGGTTGAGGCAAGAGGATTGCTGTGAGTTCGAGGCCAACGTGGACTACAGTGTGAGTTCAAGGCCAGCCTGCACTGTATAGTGAAACCCTGCCTCAAAAAGATAAATAAATAAATAGATGATAGATAGATAGATAGACAGACAGACAGACAGACAGAGGTGTAGCTCAGTGGTAGAATGCTTGCCTAGTGTTTGTCAGGCCCTACGTTTGCAAATAAATTGAGTGAATGAATGAATGAATGAACAAATATGAGATGAGATAAGATAAAGGCACAAGGACAGTCACTGATGTGTGATTCATGACAGAAAACAAGGGTAAGCAACCTAAACACCATCAGTTGGCTTGATTAAATACACTGTGGTCATTAAGGAAAGCAAAGGTTTGTTACAGACAGATGTTAACACTGCTAGGGAGTAAGATGTGGGTTATAAAAGAGCACGTACAATGTGATCTATTTATACAAAACTTTAAATCTCATATAAATATATACCTTTATAAAGAGGTATTGGAAAAATATTTAGCAAAATGAATACAGTGATTATCTCCAATAGAAGTAGATTTGGGATAATTTGCTTTGGACAGGACTAGATATTCATCTTCCTTTTCATTTCTTTCAATGATCATATGACACTTCCTCTGTCAGAACCATTTTTATAATCTCAGCATTTTTTGTAACTATCACTCTTAGAAATATCTTTTATTTTGATCTTAGACGTATCATTTCACAGAATGTGCTACATACACTAGTATGATAAATACATTCACTCACTGCAAAAAGAAAACCTTCCCTGATACATCAAACTAGCATTAGAAAAATAATTCATAGCTGTGTGTGGTGGCACATACTTGTAATATCAGCACTCAGGAGGCTGAGGCAAGAAGATTGCTACAAGTTCGAGGCCAGCCTGGGCTATATTGTGAGATCTTGTGTCAGAAAGAAATGAAAGAAAGGAAAGAAGGAAAAGAAAAGAAAAGAAAAGAAAAGAAAAGAAAAGAAAAGAAAAGAAAAGAAAAGAAAAGAAAAGAAAAGAAAAGTTTATATATGCCTTTACATGTACATGTCTGTAATGTGCATGTATAGTAACATGACATTGTTTTACTGAAATAGCATAATGATTTCTATCTATCCTTTTTGACTAATATAAGCTTAATTTTTTCATGTAAAAGTTTTCTGGCTTTAAAGGAGAGAATTAACAATGCTAAAAGCAAACAGCATTACATGTGATAGAGGGCTAGAGAGGGTGTGGAGATTTCTCTCAAGCGACAAAATAACTAATAAACCAGAACTGTCTTCCCCAAGTTAACCTCTGATTGGTTCTTATACAAGGAATAAGAAGAAGTATTTGGACTCTGTTTTCTAGTAATGAAGGTTACACAGAGACATCAAAAAAGCCTTCTTTCAGAGATGGAAAGTACCTTTGGAACATATCTGTAGAACATAACACAGAAGAAAATTTTCTTTTTAATCCAAAACACACTTGTCTATAAATCTAGGAACATACCAAGAGTGTGTCACTAGAAAAGTTCCTAGATTCTCCAGAATGACAAACTATGAATAGACAAAGCAACATATTTTCATTGCCTCATAAATTACTAAAAGAGCTTCCAAAAATAAGGGAAACAAAATCATGTGAAGAATCTTTTGCTAGTTTGCCTTCTGCCCCCTACCGAGGCTAAATTACTTAAGATACAGAGGTGGCTAAAGAGAATTTCAGGCATTGCCATTCTTCAGCCATTAGATTTTCCAAGTCTGGGATTTCTAAGATTTGTAAAACCGCAGAGTTATGAGATACAAATAAAATTTGACATTAAGTAATCCTTTCCTTTATCACTGCTGACACCTCTAAAAGTCTAGATTTTTTCTCCCAAAGTAACAAAACATTAGTACAAACCTCATCCACAACAGACTCACAGGAATCATTGTCAATAAACACAATACACAAAACATAACACACAAAAGGATAATCAATGTTAAAATATTTTCTTAGTTGGGGGGAAGTCAACTGCTATTTCAAGACATAAAAGGCTGCCTTATATTGAACTGTGAGACTATCTCTTCAACAGGCAGGCAGTGGAGACATTGTAAGTGCAGTACCTTTAGGAGGAAAATACGACTTGCTTTCTGCTTTGTGAGGCCAGTCTACCACGAGAGGCCCAAATCTGCGAAAGCTGGCAGTGATCTCATCTACAAAACAAAGAAGACATGTTAGTAGAAGAGGGAAAAAAATTGTAATCAGAATAGCACAAAACACATCTCTTTATTAAAAAAATTTGTTGTAGGCTGGGAGTGGAGATCAGTGGTAGAGTGTTTTGCCTAACATGCACAAGGTCCTGGTTCAATCCCCAGCACTGCAAAAATATACAAAAACTTAAAAAAAAAAAAAAACTTTGAAGGCTCTTTTCTTTTCTTTTCTTTTCTTTTTTTTGGTCTTTTTGAGACAGGGCTTCACTATGCAGTTCAGGCTGGCCCTGAGCTCACTTTGTAGCCCAGGCTGGTCTCAAACTCCCAACAATCCTCCTGCCTCAGCTTCCCAAATGCTGGGATTACAGGCATGCAACACCATGCCCGGCACCGAGGGCTTTTTTCTACAGTACTAGAGGTCAAACCTAAACACTATGGCTTGGATATATATTGTTATTTGCCTTTAACCACGCCAAGTTTGTTTCTTTTCACTGCCAGTAACTTCGACAAAGAATTTGGAAGAAAAAATTCTAGTGTTAGCTAAGATGACCTCTATGTCAAATAAAATGAAGATTCTAAAAATAGGAATGTTCTGTTTTAAGAAAAGGATGAAAGTACAGAAAATATTTGCACTTGTATGGAATCATTAAATTTTTTAAGAAGTAAATTGATCCACCTGATGAGAAGCAGAGAGGCAATAAGTAGGTAATTCTATTTGGTGAGAAAAAATATTAAAAGGTAATGAATGATCTCTTTCTCTCATACATACTTTATAAAGAACATATATAAAAAGTTGTAGCTCAATAAATTTCTTTCTAGGCAGGTGTGGTGGCGCACACCTGTAATCCCAGCACTGGGGAGGTCAAGGCAGGAGCATCACCATGAGTTCAAGGCCAGCTTGGACTACATAGTGAGTTCAAGGCCAGCCTGAACTACATCGCAAGACACTGTCTCAAAAAGAAAAAAAACAAAAGAATTTGTCTTTCTTATTTTTCACTCAAATCAGAATGCTATTATAACCTGGTTCCTACTCAGATTTAAGATATCACTCCCTTAGGCACAATAAAGAATTTGTCTTAAAGAAAATCTGATCAATATAGATGATATTAATACAAATATAAAAATAGTCTGGATGAAAATGAGTCTCCAGCTATGTACCATTTTAAGGTAGCAAGTCTAAAACAAAACTATTTTTTAAAAACTTTTCTTCTCTGCTGCATGTGGTGATGCATGCCTTTAAACTCACAGGATCGCTGCGAGTTTGAGGCCAGCCTGGGCTACACAGTGAGATCATCGTGAACCTGAACTGCATAGGGAGACCCTGTCTCAAAAAACAAACAAACAAAAGTAAATAAAAGATTTTTCTTCTCTCAAGAAGAAACACGTGATAAATGAACCAAGTGTCATAGCTAGAATAATGCTGGCAAAACAAGTCTGTTTTCATAATAGTTTTATGATGAAGTAGAGTTGTTATTTCTTCCTTTAAGTTAGCTTTGTCATAATTTTATTTCATCCATGCATTCAATAAATATTTATTATCTACCATGTGCTAAAAGGAATAGTTTCCTTGAGTTTAGCACATGAGAACATTCACTTGTATTTTGGACTAGCATTATCTCAAAAGTATCACTAACAATTCTGATTCATCTTCATTCTTCTAAAGAGGGAAATGTGCTTTTCATTAATAGATGTTTAAAGTAAAATGTGGTGTGATAGACATGAGAGAAAGCTCTACAATCAGACGGATTTCTAACTACACCATTAGCTACACAATCAGCACAATTATCTCTCTCTGATCCTCAGTATCCTCATCTAGAAAATGAAGATGATAGTATATACCTTAAAAGACAAGTACGAGTATTAAATGAGATAACATGAAATGCTTAGCACAATAGTGGATTTAAGAGTAAAGTTTCATATGTATTAGTTCTCATTACTACCCCTAAATTAACAAGTAGGAAATAAGAAACTGTTGAGAGACTACTGCATTGTCATATACGAACAATAGACCTGATTTGTGTAATCTATTACTTCATTTATCAAATATTCTCACCTCCCACACATTAAGATATAAATACCTACAGCTGACTTGGAAAGTCAAGGTCAGATGACACAAAGCACAGACCCAGATTTCCAAGTCATTAGTGAATGCATACCTTCATCGATGTCAGGAGGGAGGCCTCCGACAAACACCTTTCTAGAGTAGCGTTCCACTCGTTCCCCATTCTGACAGCGTGTGGGAGAACTCAAACCAGATGACAAGGCCTGATCACCATGGCTGTCATCCAAGAAGGCGTCTTCAAAGGGAAAAAGGGAAGATCGACCTGAAACAAATATAGGAGTTTCTATAATCAGAATGATTTTCCTTTGAAGCTCAAAGTGCAGATTGAAATATACCCACCACCAAAAAAATGTGCCCTGAGCCTCTGCTTTTCCAATGGATTACCGGGTCTAGACAAGTTTATACCATCTTCTTTCTGTAAGGCTATAGGTAGCCCTGAGATGATAGCTAAGGAAGAAGCATTAAAACTGCAGCTGTTTTCCTGCTAAAAAATCACTGCATGTTACTCATACATTCCCTATCACAGCTGATAAGACTATATTCAGCAGTTATTTTTCCTTACTTTGGTCATTTCTTAAAATAAGCAGAAAAAGTAACATCCATTCATAGATTTTTTTTTTTAATCTGCTCCTCATGGTGACCTCAGGGGCTCAATTCTAAAGATTGGCACTCATAGCAAAGGGAATATTAAGCTGATGACAGAAGCTAATAACTTCTAATACAGGACTAAAGATCAACTTTTTCCTGCCATCCCAAGCTATTTCAATTTGAAAATAAACATGTTCTATAAGGGAGGACAAGTAAATGAAAACATAAAAATTAAGATGGGTGTATAGATGTAGATGTGGTTATTATATCTTAACCCTACTAATCTCGGCTGTACTACACATTACTCAAAAAAATATGAAAATAGTACAGAACTTTTTTCATTAACTCTATAGTCAAATTAAATTTGCAGAGCACAGATACATACCCATTCTACATGACTATAAGAAAGATACTAGCAGTTAGTCTGCCAATAATGTAATACCACTTAGCATTACAAAATAAAATTTAAGTTTAAAAACTAACACATTTCTTGTTTGAGTCTGTGACTTCCTGGTAAAATTTTCCACTAAGTTCTACTCTAAAAATGAATTGTCTTGAGCACTCTCAGTTTTGAAGAAATAAAAGTTTCCTTCTAAAATATATTCACATACTGTATTCTTCAGAGAGAGAAGTGTCTTTCCCACTTATTCTATCCTGTCCATATTTCCCTGAAACCTAGGTTTTGCACAATAGCCAACTCTCTATAACAGAATATAAACAGCCTTAGAAAAGTACTGAACATTTTTTAACCAAAAAAGTTGCCAATATAACTTTATTTTATGAACAAAGCAGGTTGTGTAAGAAAGGCACAGTTTCAGATTTAGGAAGTTCATAAATAAAAGGGCCAAAGGCATGCATGCTGCGGTGTGGGTGAGGGGACCAAAGAACTTTTTGTTCAGCTCTTCTCAGCATAGCCACAAAGAAACAAAACAGAATTTGTCACTTCATGCCACCTAGCTTTTTTTAGCCTGGCAAGAAACAAACAATAATAAATTCTCATCCTTTGATGTTTGATTGTTGGAGGTAAAAGAAAAAGATCTGATCCAACTACAGGCAAAGTGAGCTTCCCAAAGATACCCAGAGGTTGTTCTCCACCAGGAGACAGGTTATCTCTTCATGTAGTCCACACTCAGAGACTCTCACACATACTCATTCTGAAGCTCATATCTCAATGAGCATTTTCCACAGCATGTCCTATCCCACCTCTTACCTTCAACATTAGGGATGTGAGATGCTCAGAAAACAAGAACTGGTACAGAGGAAGAGAAAACCAAATGATCTGGGGGTAAATACTGCATATTTTATGCTCTTCCCAGAGATTCCAGTTCACATTAGGAACAAAAAAAAAACTGGTGCAGTAAAGAAATAACTTACTCCAGTATTACTCAGATCTAAGATAAAGGAAGACTTTAACACAAAAAACTCAGTAGAAAACAGTATGTCAAGAACAACAAACAAACAAGAAACTTCCCTGCCAAAGAATCATAGTCTGGTGAGAGAGATAGGCAGATACAGAAAATCATAAAATAGAAAAGTACTAAGAGAAGTCTAGTGACACAGAGTTGAACTTGCTGCTCTCTTTATGGATTGATTTCACAGGAGGGCAATTTTGAGCAGAATCTTGGGAGAGTGGGAGTTTCTGAGGTAAACAAGGATCCATAGAGAAAATACTTTCAAAATGCTCTTGATCTTTGCCTCCAAACCTGCTCTTCTCTAGAGTACCTTAAAAGATCTCAATTAAAATGACTATTACACATACTCGATTCAATCCAGAAATCTGAGTCATCCTTGACATCTCTCACATGCTACATGCCAAATCCATTTCTTGTTAAGTCCTGCCAATTCAAGCTCCAAATCAAGATTCCATTAAGTTCTCTCCATCCCCAGTCCTAACACCCTGGTCCAGGCCACCACCATAACTCCCCTGGACACAGTCTAATGAGCACATGTGTATAGAAATTAGTCCAGTAGTTTCTGCTGTGAATTATAGAATGGTTTCTCCACCAAATAGCCCAAGTTGCTACTTTCAAATATTAATATGAACATGTAATTACTATAGGCATCTAAATTAGATAAAAATTAATATATAGTTAGAAAGGGACTGGGTTCTCAAGTCAGTGCACAAGATGAGAACATATCAAAACTGTGGCTGGTGGTACATCTGAAGAAGGAAAGACCTCAAGATTAAAGTCACAATAGCCAGACTGACATATTTCCCTAAGCTTGAGATTATACCGATTGGTACCACCTTTTTGGGATTTTCCATAGAAAAAAGGATTATCTCAATAAGGGTGGGCTATCTTCTTTCATCCACTAAGACTAAGACTAAGACTAAGACTAAGACTAAGACTAAGACTAAGACTAAGACTAAGACTAAGACTAAGACTACTGAGACTACTAAAACTACTAAGACTAAGACTTAAACCTGAGACTATAAGTTAGTGGTTAATGATGTCATCCATATGCCCTACACTTGTAATCTTATAGGTTGATTATACTTTGACCCACTTTACCCACTTCGTGACTTTGCCCTACAAAACATTCTTAGAGAGATGACCTCAGCTGCAACCCACTCAGGACCCCTTCCGTCTCTCTGGAGCTATCCCTATTGCACATTCCTATTCCCCGTAAAAACCCTTCTTACTCTTAACCTCTTCTGTCCTTTAGAATTCATTCTTTGACTTCAGGGGACATGAACTTGGTGCATCTGACATCTAGCAGGTTGGGAGTTCTATCACAATCACACTCAACATCTCCAAAACTCCTCAATGACTCCCCGTTGCTCTCAGATATAGTACAAAAATATACCACAAACCGGTGGGTCTCTGCTTACCTCTTCTAAATCAGCTGCTGTCTCTCCCTCTTGCTAACTACTCCTAATCACACAGACCTTCCTATTTCCTGATTATTCCTTCTTGCCACAGGTGCTAAGGACAGGGTGTTTGTTTCCCCTCACCTTTAAATGAGCATTCCTTTCCCAAACTCCCCAATCTCTGAGTGGATTTCTACTAATTCTTTAGGTCTCAGCTGAAAAGTCATTTCCTCAGGTGCAACTTTCCCTTAGCTTTTAGATTAGTTAGCCCCTTCGATCCAAGAATATCATTTTGTACTGCAACCTCTTTACACTTTCCCCACTTACTGTTAGACAGTTGTGTGGGTTTTTATTAAGTACTTTTTTTAGGGACCAATTTGATCTTGTTCACCAGCATGTCTTCCTGCCCTAGTCAGAGCACAGTAAGGCACTCAAAAAATGTTAAATGTGAGGCAACATCCAGGAAGGAAAACGGTATGTGCAAAGACATGCTGCTGCAAGCATATCCTGAAACACAATACGCAGCCTTAAGAACACAAAAGATGTGGTTATGTCCTAGAAAACAGAACTCCTTTCCTATTTTTATTTGCACAAACATCATGTTTTAAATTCCATCTTACAAAAGCAATAAGAATTGTTTCCACTTTTAGAATATTTCATTCCAATACTGGCTTTTCTTGAACCATATTAATTCCCTGCAGACTATGGTACTCCCATCAAATCCATCTCTGTCCTACCAGAATGACTTTGCTAAGATCTCTCTGATCACATTACACCCATACTCTACTTTAGCTTCTACCACTCCCACCAGTAACTTGAACCTAGCAATGAGGAGGAAATGGGTTGAGGTAGATGGGCCAAAGAAATCTTCAACCACCCAGATGAGGGATGAGGACCTCTTGAACCAGAGCAGTGAAAGAAAAAAGGAGATGTTTAAGACATTCTCAAATAAAGAAAACTTTCTTTCTCATGGCCAACATAACTACAACTTACCCAGAGTATTTTGGCAACGAAAAAAGCCAGAGTTGTAAAACTCTGGACAGTTTTGAAAATTGGTTACGGATAGTTAAGGTACACCCCAAGGTGTTAAAATCAAGTATCTTAATATATATTTAATTTATTTCTGCTTGTTTTTTGAGACAGGATCTTGTTATATAATTTAGGCTGGACTGGAACTCACTATGTAGCCTAGGCTGGCCTGGAATTCCCAACGATTCTTCTGCCTCAGCCTCCCAAGTTCTGGGATTACAGGCATGTGCTACCACACCCAGACTCTATGTTCATATTTAGATAGAAGACTGCTAATTTTAGCAATCATTAGCTAATAATTAATATATAAATGATGTTTTACTAATTTTAAGTAGAAACTAAGAACACAGGTATCAAAACCCAATCCCCTCAAATCTACTCATCTAAATCTGTTTGAAAATCTGTATGTTTCACAACTTTCCCCAGTGATTCTCAGGCTGAAGTTTAAGAGCCACTACAATGGATACTATCTGTCTGTAGCAAGCAGCTACTGATAAAGTATATGAGCCATGGAAAACATCCAAGTTCAATCAAGTTAGGGAAGTTTATTCCCAGGAATATAAAACCTAAAATCTAATTAACCTTAACATAACATGACTGTCTGAAGTGGTGGCAGAATAAAAAGTCTGCAGGAAGCATTTTAAAAAACAAAACTGGGTGGCTGGGCATGGTGGCTCATGCTGTAATACCAGCACTTGGGAGGCTGAGGCAGGAGGATCATCATAAATTCAAGGCTCAAGGCCAGCCTGGGCTATATAGTGAGTTCAAAGCCAACCTGAACTACATAGTGATAACTTGTCTTACAAAAATAAAAACGGAACTGGGGGCTAGGG